GATCCCGGAAGTTCTGAGCAAGATGATGCTGCGAGTCTCATCTAATCCATCGATCCTCGCGCTCCGGGTTTATCATTGGCTGCAAACAGACAACCGGGAAGATCTAGAGCTGATTGCACTTGCGAGTGATCTGTAGTCTCTGATGTTTCAGGAAGATGCGATAGATCGTGGATGTGCATCCTGCGAGCTTGTTTGTAGCCGCTGGCAGCTAGAAAGATTCTTGGATTCCAACCCGGGTGTTGTACAGACAGAATTTTTGGCGGAGTAGATTTTAATTCCGCAGGTGGATTCGTGACACGACTCCTTACCCAGCTTCGGCATTGGTGGTGCGCTGCCCTCTAAACCCTGAACCCTATAATCCCGAAGTTCCCCGAGCACAAAACAGCAGATGACCGGCCTACCTCCGTACCGGAGCTTGGGACACTCAACTCGGGCCGGGACCCGCCTTTCTCTCTCACCCGTTCGCAAATGAGCCAAGAATCACAGCTCGGAGTCCAGTCTGTAAGGTTTTTTTTTCAGGGCCTAGGCACTTCGGCCAAGAGAGGGCAGATGCAGGAGGCCGCTCCCGGTCATGTTCAGCCGAATCCATTCAATCCGTCCAGTTTCTGGATTCAGCACAATGTGGGTCCTCACGGGGCTTCGAAGTGAGCCCTTCCTGCCAAGCCACGCGCTTTGTATTTATACAAGGGCATGTCGATCCTCGCTGTGACGCCGCTGCGAGCACAGGCACTTCTGCAGCGGATCACTGCACTAAAGATTTGCACTGCGCATGTGCTTCTTTGACTGTAAGATTGGGTGCCCCGGAATGTATAACCCCTACTTAGGGTACTCTGCAATCATCACAGGGCCCACCTCTGACCTCTACTTTGTGGATCTTTTGATCTGCGACTGGTGCGCGACTGCAGCTTCTTCGAGGGTCCCTACCCCTTCGTGCCAGCAATGACCATCCATTGCGTTTTCGTTTTGAATTGCTTGGAGACGCTTAGCGCAAGTTCTGCACTAAGTCACTGGCTTCTTCAGGCTGCAACGTGGAGATTGTCCATCCGCTGCAGCCTCAGCTGGACCCTGTCAGGAATTGAAAGGACGTGGACCGGGAGGCTTCGTGCTCCGTGCTCCGGGAAAGAGGGCTGAACCAAAAGCTCCCAGAGCGAAGCATCTAAGAAGCTATCAACTATCGCTTCAAGCCTTACCGATCCCAAGAAAGCGGGCGGGGGGGGGGGGGGGGGGGGGACGCTCAAGCTGCTCCTGTGCACTGTGTCTCTTGGAGTGTAGAAGTTTGCAGGGATTAAGTCAGAGGGAGGCCTGGCCGTGGTACATCCCATACAATCCGGGGCCTAAAGAATGAGAAGTCGTGCTAAGGTAGTGTTCCCCGATATCCTCCCATCCAAATTTCGTAGATGGTAAGTCTGCACCGACGATCCGGGCAAGCTGAATGACTACCTGTCCTACCCTAAACAGTCGCCCTAAACCCTCGCACATGGGAGGCTTAATATCAGGTCGGAACCATGTACTTAGGGGATAGTTTGCCCCGAAGCCCTGTTCAAATCAATCAGGCCCCTGATTAAGGTCTGGCAGGATTCTGCCTGGACCGCCACGAGGCTTTGGCCGAGGTTGGACAGCTCCCCTTTTATGCAACACCCCAAAATTATATAGCTCAATGACAAAAGGAAGAACAAGGTCGCCGAACTGCATTCTTCATCGGACGTTGGGCTTTGGACAATGGTTGCGATGTAGACTCCCAGTCTGCATCTTGACGGCACCACGTGGGACTCTTCGGGCATGGTCTCGCGATCTGAGGGTTACAAGGTGGCTGCGGGAGCTTACGAACTGCTAACATGACAGCAAGAAGGGGCACTATGGTGCATGCCAGCCTTCGACAGGTCAGTTCAAACGTTCAGCCGTTTGCTCTTGGTTACAGCTTCACCTCATCTACTCGTCCTGGCTTCCGCAGCTTTCAGCTGTAAATATGGTCATAATGTCACCGGTCTGGCCGCGCGTGCGGCCACCTTCTGCAGCCAAGCTCTTCTACACCCTTACATACTCCAGGCACGAGAGCTCGTAAGATCCGTGTGCCTGCAGCGACATGCGAACGGCAGATGAATACCGTGTGCTCGAACCTGCTTGATAGCTCTGGGACTGCTCACTCGACCAGCCTCGTGTCAAATCACGCAGCCACTCGGATAGTAGTCGTCCGCAACTCAACAGCAGAGCCATGCCGCTGCAACGCCTGGACGATGCATTCGGCGTCCGGCGGAGTCAGCGCCTGGCTTTGGACTATGACTAGGGCTGACTACAGGGTAGAAGTATATAATCTGCTCCACCGCTGCAGGAAGCTTGGAAACTTGTTCATCGTCCAAAGCCATGATCCTGTTAAGATCCCTCCCTCCCCCTTGTACTGGCCAACCTCGCGTCAATCAGGCAAGGGGTCCAGGACCCAGAGCGCAAAGTCCTTCGGACGCGTCTTGCCTGCTCTGAGAGCCATGCTTTGGAAGGATGCCGGCGATTCTGTGCGAGGGAAGAAAGACGATTTCATGCTCTTTCCGTTACTTGTTGTGTAACCGGACTACTGATTCCATGGTAGAATGATGGCCAGAGTTGCATTGAAAGAGGTACCGATGGATGCAGTTCCATGGCAAGGAGGAGGTTGACCGACAGCCTGGTTTTGTAACTTGTGTATGTATGTAGGTACGCATGTAGGGACGCATGTAGGTACGCATGTACGTATGTACGTATGTATGTATGTATGCATGTATGTATGTATGTATGTATGTATGTCTGTATATGTGTGGGTATATGCATGTGCACATGTGAGCAGTTACACATGTATTGTGTATTGTGTTGTGTCGTATGGCATTGTACTGTACTGTATGTAGCAGGTTGTAGTGTAGTGTAATGCAGGGCAGTGTAGCTAGCGTCGTCTAGTGCAGTGTAGTGTGCTGTATTGTAATAATCTGTAAATTAATAATTCCTTTCGTTCGTACCTACATACATGCATACATACATACATACATACATGCATACATACATACATACATACATACATACATACATACATACATACATATATGTATATATATATATATACACATACATAAACACGTGTATATATATATATATATACATATGTACAGTATTTGTTTTGGGTAGTCCACTTGTCTCCTGGTTTGTTTTGACGCAAGAGCAGAGGCCGGAGACTGGCCATCCACCAACTACAGGATTTCATTATAGTTTCGCGTCCCTAACTCTAAACCCTAAAACCCCAAGCCCTATAAACCCTAAACCCGGATGTTTCTCCCAGTTTCAGAGGAGCAGTATTCTTCTGACGAAGATTTCACGAGGCACTTGGTGTCCCACGCCTGGCGACGCCTGAGGTGGTAGCACAAGTTGACTGGACATTGACATTCGCTTTCGATAGAGATGTCCTGCTCTGTCTCTACAATGTCCCACTGTCCAGGAGCCTGGCTTGGTTTATTTGTCTATCAGCTTCCATCACGGATGCTAATCTGCAGAAACTCAAGCCCCGAACCAGGAGGTGGAAAGGAGAGGCATTGAACACTAGCCTGAACCTCCTCAAGAAACTAACCCCATTTAGGACCAGCTCGCAAAGCTGAAAACCGACACCTGCAAACCAAGCGAATCCTCGAAGTCAAGTTGACACCCGAAACTGTGGAACTTCTAAACTCAACCCTACATCCAAAGAAAGTCTTTGGAAGGTTACCGAGTTCGATGAGTCCCACTTCCAGGCCGAAGGCCTCTTCGCGCAAAACTCCTCTCAGGGCAACAAAGAGTGGCTGGCCTTACAAGAGTCAGCGTCGCATAGATAGCTATACGTATTAATATACGTGTATACATACATATATATATATAGATATAGATATATGTATGTGTATGTATATATATATATATATAGATAATAGATGTGCGTGTAATTACTGTACCATGTATGTATGTTTGTTTGTAAGTAAGTATGTATGTATGCATGTATGTAAACATGTATGTATATGCACAATTGCACACATACGTACATACATACATACATACATACATACATACGTACATACGTGTGTATATATATATATATATGTATATATGTGATCATGAACCGTATGGTTTGTCTTTTGATTGTCGTTTATGTTACAGGGGTCCTTTGTGTCTTGTGCCTGGTGTCCAGGCTTTGGTAAGCCTACGCCTATGGCTGTCGAGAGGCCTCGCGTTTTGGTACAGTAGGACTGGTAGGACAGAGTCGTGGTCTGTGGATTCAAGGATCCACTGGGTCGAAATAAATGGTAATGGTAGCCCTTGAAGTCCCTAGAATAATAGCAACGTATGATATATTCTTGGTCGCGAGGCCTCTGACAACCCACCAATGCTTGCAGGAAATGCTACCCTTTGTTTGTAGTCATTGCTTTTTTGCTGTATAGTTTGTGGCACACATCAAGCAATCAGGTGCAAAGCCACCTTGACCAGCATAGAAGCATCCGACGTAGTTGTTGGTATTTTTCCACGTGTCTGTTTCTTACTTTCGCAATCTTGTACCTCGGTAGGTAGGCAGGCTGGCATGTACGTCTGCATGTACGTATATACGTATGCATGCATGCATTATTGCATGTGTGTGTGGGCAGGTATGCGTGTATGTAATGTAATGCCATGCATGTACATGTACATTTTGGTTAGTAGGTGCAGCTGTGCAGCCCAGATCTCCTTGCCGGGTTGAAGTGGCTTCAGTCATGAGTCCCAGGTATCAGGATCGACTCCGTGCGATCCACCTCCGAAAAGAAGGCAGGTGAGGATCGTGGGGCAAATAGTGTAGAACGGCCCCCGCACCCAGAGAAAAACATATCTGCTTGCGTTCGTATGACTCATAACCACAAGGTCCCAGGATGTCCCAGAAGTATATAATAGTATCCACGCAATGGCCTTGTGAGTCGACGCGTGACTTGTGTCAGAGCTTACATGGTTCACCAGTTTACCAGGCATCCACTGCCAGGAACAGGGACTCCATGACGAAAAGTGAAATTAACGCGTCTTGGACGGACGGCAGGCCATCAGAGCCGTCTTCGTTACGCTCAATTAAGAATCCGACCAACAATTTGTTGTCAGAATTTCTAGGCAGCAAAGCTAGATGGCTCCCCTTTCCGCCCCTCCCCCTTAAACCCTAAACCCTCAACCCTAAACCCTAAACCCTATCCTTGAGCCGAAGACTTGGGTCGGAGGCCTTGAGAAGACTGCGATTGCCAAGGCCCTGGGCCGGTCTGTGACCTTCGGATGGGATTAAGGGCTCCTTCATCTGCCTATAGTCTCCATTGTAGTTCCCTTTTTTGGTTTAACCAAATATATATCAAGGATTTTAGAAGGTAGCCCCAAAAAGGAACTACAATGGAGACAATAGGTAGGGCTGACTTGCGGAAATCACTGGTGGATTGATTCTTTATAAGTTTATCATTTGCAAACAGACAGAGAGGCAGACAGCCAGGCAGGCAGACATTCATTCATGCAGGTGGTAATCTCAATTAAAAACTAAGGTCTAGTGTTGTAGACAAGCAAGTATACAACTAAGTAAATAAATGAACTCATGTGCATGTATGTATGTATATATATATATGCATATCTCTGTAAAAGTCAGCAGCGCAAAACTTCTCTCTTTCTCTCTCTCTTTCCCTCTCTGTCTGTCCGTCTGTTTTTCTCGCTCTCTTGGATACAGACATATATATATATATATATAGATTCATTTATTCAATTAACTACATATACGCACATAAACCGCTGCACAGATATACAGAAAAAAGGAAGGAAGGACGCGAGGAAGAGCGCGAGAGAAAGAGAAAGAGAGAGAGTGTGTGAGTTCTTTCGTCCTTTGTCCGGAGCTGAGGAAATTCGTCGCCAAGTGGTGGCAGAAGGAGCCCAAGGAGATTCCGAGGCCCTATGGAGTGCACGAGTACCTGACCAAGGAGCCGGCCAGGAGGGCGTAGATGTTTTGAATGCGGTCTCAACCTTCAACGTTCGCAGAGGCAGGAAAAGAGGCGAAGGGCAGGGAGAGGAAATGACCAGAACAACGAGTGTGTTTCGGAGTTCAGGGTTGGGAGTTAAGGGTTCAGCACTTGGGGTTATAGCAGTCTAGGTTGCGTTTCATGGTCAGGGGCTGGGTTTCTTGTAGTTTCTTTCCAGTTCGAACTTTATTTGGAGACGGGAACACGGTTGCAGGCGCGGTAAACACCAAGAGAGCAACGTCCGTCGAAGATGGTAAATCAAGGACATCAGGCCTGTCTGCCCCAAAGGCAGACACCCCTTGTTGCAGCACGCCTACTGCACCCTTCAACTTAAGATTGGTCTTCTCCCCTTCTCGGAAGACCTCTGCGAACATGCCGCGCACATAGTCCGAGGTGCCGACGCCTTGGAAATCTGGGAAAGCGCTCGACCTCAACTCCCAGGGGTGTGGGCTCGACACGAAAGCAAATCCAAAGTCTTCTCCACCCTGTAACCCTAAGCTCTAAAGCAGAACCAACACTCTACATCTCCTAGCCTAGGACCACTGTCCTACAGCCCACATCCTATATAATCCCCCCTATAGTCTCTATAAATTCTATAGATCCTGAATCCCATCGAAGCCCAACAAAACAGTAACCCTAACCCTCCAGATATCTACTATATAGGGTACTAGAGCCCCTAGGGCCCTATATAGTAGGCACCTGCGGGGTTAGGGAAAACAGCAATAACGGTTCAGGAGATGGGCCGTAATGAGCGGGGAGTCGGTGCAACGAATGGCGCCTCCATGACAGAGGACGGCTCCTGAAGTTAGTTTCCCTAACCCCCCAGGTGCCTACTATATAGGGCGCTAGGGGCTCTAGCACCCTATATAGTAGGTACCTGGGAGGTTAGTGTGAGGGTTAAGGGTGTTTGGTTTAGGTTTCGAATCATTCAGCTCACTTTTGGATGTCTGGAACTGGAGCACGCGAAGGTTTACATCGGCTTTCTGCTTGCTGCAAGTAGTTGGCATGCCTGTCGGTACGTGCTTGCTTTTCTAGTTCACTCGGTATTGTCTGAGCCGGTTGAGGGAAGAAGCGAAGTCGTTGCACAGATTCACTCTGAATACCATCATGAGTTCATAAACACATCCACCGCTAGGCGTCGATTTAACCGATGGTAATGAACCTTGGAGGAGGGCAAAACCCGCATCATTATGGTTCCTTCACGGCTAAGGCCTGCAGTCGTTGGAAATGTTAGTCGGGCTCAGTGGCAGCACATGCTGGTACTTGTCTTGACGCTTCTGTGCCACCCAGCCAGCTATGTCATGAGAAGCTAGCTTCAGACTGCTACTAGCCACTACCAAGCCTGCGCTGCGTGGCTGAGACACGTGATTCAATCGTGCCCCTTGTGTGAAGGAGTCAGTCCACGACACTGCGACATGGTGGCGGGATGCCGCTCAGATTGGTCGGGCGATCTGCAGGCGGAGATATCGCATCCTCACATCGTTGGACAATCGAGTGTACTTCATGTCGTCTAGGCTCATGTGCTGGGAGCCAGCGGGGCGATCACACCTGAGTTTGGTGAACCCGGCATGTGAGCTCAGAGACCCGAGGTCGAAGTGAAACGAAAGTTCGCAAATGACCCGGCCATCTACGACTCTTGGACTGTGGGTCCGATTCCAGGCTTTGGATGACAGGTGCATGTACGATTAGTCTTACGGGCTGGAGGCATGGCATCGCGTATTTCAACTTTGCTACTTTTGCCAACCAACTCCTGGAGTAGAAGACTTTCAGCAACCGAGTGTTTTCCAACAGTTCCAGCTAGTGCTCCAACTGCTGATGCAGCCATCAGCCGTTGCATCTGTTCGAAATCGTCTTCCTTTTGCTGCTGCCGCAGCTACTGCTACTGCTCTGGTGTGCTGGTACTGCTACTAGTACTCCACCTGCTATTCCTCTTGCTGCACCTCCTCCTGCTGCTGCTACTGCCGCTGCTCCTGCTGCCGCTCCTGCTGCTGCTGCTGTTATACTACTACCACCACTACTACCATCACTGCTAGCACTACGACGACCAGTACGACGACCACCACCACCATCACCACCACCGCCACCACCACCACGACTACTACTACTCCTACTACTACTGCTACTACTACTACTACTACTACTACTACCACCAGTACTCCTGCTGCTGCTAGTACGACGACGACGGCGACGACGACTAGTACTACTAACTACTACTACTACTACTGCTGCT